ATCTACGCAATAGACCTAGCTCTGATACCACTGTTGGGGAACGTAGCAGAAATTCAAAATTTTCCTACGTAACACCAAGATCTATCTATGGAGAGACCAGCAACGAGTAGAAAGGAGAGTGCATCTACATACCCTTGTAGATCGCTAAGCGGAAGCGTTCAAGTGAACGAGGTTGATGGAGTCGTACTCGTCGTGATTCAAATCACCGATGACCAAGTGCCGAACGGACGGCACCTCCGCGTTCAACACACGTACAGCCCGGTGACGTCTCCCACGCCTTGATCCAGCAAGGAGAGAGGGAGAGGTTGAGGAAGACTCCATCCAGCAGCAGCACAACGGCGTGGTGGTGGTGGAGGAGCGTGGCAATCCTGCAGGGCTTCACCGAGCACCTACGGGAGAGGAGATGTGTCACGGGAGGGAGAGGGAGGCAACCAAAGGCCTTAGGTCTAATTGCTCCTCCTTTTCCCCACTATATATAGGGCCAAGGGAGAGGGGGGAGGCGCAGCCTTGCCCCCTCCTCCAAGGAAGGGGTGCGGCTAAGGATGGGGAGGAGTCCATCCTCCCCAAGGCACCTCGGAGGTGCCTTCCCCCTTTAGGACTCTTCCCTTTTTCCTTTATCTTGGCGCATGGGCCTCTAGGGGCTGGTGCCCTTGGCCCATGTAGGCCAAGGCGCACCCCCTACAGCCCATGTGGCCCCCCGGGGCAGGTGGCCCCACCCGGTGGGCCCCCGGGACCCTTCCGGTGGTCCCGGTACAATACCGATGACCCCGAAACTTGTCCCGATGGCCGAAACAGGACTTCCTATATATAAATCTTTACCTCCGGACCATTCCGGAGCTCCTCGTGACGTCCGGGATCTCATCCGGGACTCCGAACAACATTCGGTAACCACATACAAGCTTCCTTTATAACCCTAGCGTCATCGAACCTTAAGTGTGTAGACCCTACGGGTTCGGGAGACATGTAGACATGACCGAGACGTTCTCCGGTCAATAACCAACAGCGGGATCTGGATACCCATGTTGGCTCCCACATGTTCCACGATGATCTCATCGGATGAACCACGATGTCAAGGACTCAATCGATCCCGTATTCAATTCCCTTTGTCTATCGGTATGTTACTTGCCCGAGATTCGATCGTCGGTATCCAATACCTTGTTCAATCTCGTTACCGGCAAGTCACTTTACTCGTTCCGTAACACATCATCCCGTGATCAACTCCTTGGTCACATTGCGCATATGATGATGTCCTACCGAGTGGGCCCAGAGATACCTCTCCGTTTACACGGAGTGACAAATCCCAGTCTCGATCCGCATAAAACAATAGATACTTTCGGAGATACCTGTAGTGCACCTTTATAGTCACCCGGTTACGTTGTGACGTTTGATACACCCAAAGCATTCCTACGGTATCCAGGAGTTACACGATCTCATGGTCGAAGGAAGAGATACTTGACATTGGCAAAGCTCTAGCAAATGAACTACACGATCTTTTGTGCTAGTCTTAGGATTGGGTCTTGTCCATCACATCATTCTCCTAATGATGTGATCCCGTTATCAACGACATCCAATGTCCATAGCCAGGAAACCATGACTATCTGTTGATCACAACGAGCTAGTCAACTAGAGGCTTACTAGGGACATATTGTGGTCTATGTATTCACACGTGTATTACGATTTCCGGATAATACAGTTATAGCATGAATAAATGACTATTATCATGAACAAAGAAATATAATAATAACTTATTTATTATTGCCTCTAGGGCATATTTCCAACAACTGCCACGTAGGATAAGTGATGAGGTGGAGGAGAGAGAACCTATAAGAAAAGGTGATCTTTTAGCACAATATGTCTCACCATGTTTTTAGGATAACTAGTTATTGAAGATAAGGCTAAGAGATGACCCATTGTAGTCATGTTTTTTTGTCACCTTCAAATTACATGCAAAACTTATGATAAGACTATGTTATCAACCATTGTACATGCCCTTATGCGCCGCCGCCTGCCGTGCTTGAGCAGCGGCACCGCCCTCCCACCTAGGGAATCAGTTATGCGCCGCCACAGGCCGCCCCTCCCACCTAGGGTTTCACCAGAGAGCAAAGGGGCCGCCGCCTGCCGTGCTTGAGCAGCGACACCCAAATAAGCAGCTCCTCCTTTGGGAGCCGCACTCCCCAGTCGAGGCAGCGGCAGCTCCATTTCGAAGCTGCTCATTTCCGAGTTGCAACCGGCAATCGAAGCAACTCTTTCGAGTTCAGTCTCCGAGTTTCCATTGGCCGCACCGCGGCACCCGCCAATCTTCGGAGGGGACGCGCAACAACTCTAGACAATCAGTTTTCAGACTGACCGGCGGCAACTCGGGCGATGGCGAGTAATTGTCGCCGGCGACGGGCTGCCAAATTGATGGCCAAGCCATCCGGTTCGACCACGGGGGTGTGTTCCTTGTCGTGCCCTTCCTCTGAATGTTTTATTTTATCTTAGCAACCAGGGTCAAATTTCAGTCTTTCAGACAGCATCAAAATCTACCTTTTTTGGTACAGATAAAATAAAACGAGTTAAATGTATATACCCCCCTAAACTTTCAGGTTTGGGCCACATTGCCCCCTCAACTCAAAAACCGGTTACTTAATCCCCTCAACATTATAATACCGGACAAAACACCCCCTAAGGCCCTACTAAGTGGAGGTGAATCCTGTACGACCCGCTTGTGAGAGAGCTCCTCGTGGGGTGGCCCACCTGCCAGCCTCCCGATGCGGCCGGGTCGCATGTACGACCCGGTCGTACAGGATTATTTTGCCTACTAAGTGGTTTCTGATGCTGGTTTTGCTGACATGTCGCATGCATGCAGTGAGGGTGTCCGCCTGAGCTCGTGATGGCTGTGAGGCGACGCCGACCTCGGCAGCGTCGACTCGGGTACGGCAGGAACAACATGTGCCCCCGCCGCCGGCGACGACTTCTTGCATGTTCTCGTGGTGAGGATCCATGGCTTGCTTAGCTAAGCTAGCTAAGCTGCACCGTCGCCGTTCTCCTAAGTGTTAGGAATAAACATAACTCGCCTCGGTGACCAGCGTGTGTCTGTGTGTATGGCGAGTCCAGCACATTGGTGCCGGGCTGCGTCCGTGGCCGTGGCGGGTGTGCCCAGAGTGCGTGCATGCGTGCGTCTGTGTCGCGATGGTGTGTATGTGTGTGCACTTTTTCCACTGCGTAGGGATGGGGCCGTTGGCGAGAGTGGCAGGGTGACCGTGGCGATCCGTTGCAGCCTGGCCACGTTGAGCGCGGCCGGAGCATGCGGCTCGCACGCGTCAGAGTGGGGAGGGCAGCGTCGTGTGTGTGTGTGTGTGCGCGCGCGCACCGGGGTAAAAGTAAAACCCCCGCACTGCTCGTTACTGGCCGGTGTGGTGCCGACTTTGAGGCTTTGAGCTAAGGAAAAGGCCGTGCGTCGGCGAGGCGTTTGTCGCCGGAAAAGATCCAGTGCCCTCCGCTCCTTCTTCTTCCACCTCGGTCCGGCAGCAAGCGAGCGAGCGAGCGAGAGGGGCTAGGGTTTGCCCCAACACTACGCAGCTGTTGTCTGTTCCTTGCACAGTTGCACCCAACAGTGCCACTGACAACTGCTACCGCATCACGCTCTCCCTACTCCCTCCTCTACCTTAGCCGCGACGGACATAGCCGTGGCAGTGGCATAGTTGTGCGTGCGTGCTGTGTGTGAGCTCTGTGCTGCATGCTGAGCTATGTAATGCCCAGACGGATCTCGATCGGGAATTGGGGATGAGGAAGAGAGAAGAGAGTAGGTGAGAGACGTAGAGAAGGGGAAAGAAGGTTCAATCAATCACACGCTGCCTTTCTCCTTAGTGTTTCGTACATAAGTAGCCGCCCCTTCCTGGGCTTACCCTTACATGGCCTCCGGCCCACACCACATACGGGCCCCAAGCCCACACACACACTAGCGTTGCAGTTCAGCTAACTGACTGCACTAGTTCAGTCCGCCACTGATGCATCAGTAGGCGCGACAAGCTAGTGCATATGTGTACTGAGCTGAGTGTTGTACGTGTTGCCTGCTTGCTCTGCTGTGTGCGCGGAGAGCTAGCTGCAGATGCGCACGGGCAGCCGGGCAAAGACACGCGCAGCAAGCCCGCGTGAGACATGCTCAGCGACGCGTGGGTTCAAGGTGCATCAGGTGGCGTGGCCGGTGCCGTAGCTGGGCCAGACTACCAGGTACAGCATGCGCGGCATGCGTCGGTGCAATGGCAGAGTGAAAACCCAGTACGTGCATCTCCTCAGACAAGCAGTTGCTGCATGCACGCGTGACATCAGCAACACCACCATCAGAAACCACTCAGCAGGGCATCGGGGGGTGTTTTGTCCGGTATTACAAAGTTTGGGGGATTAAGTAACCAGTTTTTCAGTTGGGGGGGTAATGTGGCCAAAGTCTGAAAGTTCAGGGGGGGTATATACATTTAACTCAAAATAAAACGTGTGTCATCGTTTTAAGTAGATCAAAGCTGTATCTTTGCGACAGTAGACAAATTGTATCTCTGAGACGGTTAAACTTGCACTTTTGAGACTTATCATCAATATTGCATATTTGACTGTACCGTGATATCAACTCTGATTTGTTTTGGTGCCAAATGCAGAAAGGCAATCCAGATGATAGGATCAGCAGCTTGCCCAATGGCATCCTGGTCAACATTCTCGACCGACTCGATGTCCGTGCCGCTGCGAGAACCAGTGTCCTCTCGAGACTGGAGTCAGCTTCCTGCCATGCTCTCACGGCTTACAATCAGTCCTCAGGACCTCCTGCCCTCAGAAACTAAAATCAGCATTTTCCATGCTGAATTGGTTCGGACGACCGTTGCAGCTGTGGCCAAAGATTTGGCCAATGCAGCAGTGTCCAATGCTGAATTAGTTCGGAGGACCGATGCAGCTGTGACCAAAGCCTTGGCCGATGCAGCAGCTGTGGCCAAAGTGACAAAGAGCATACTGGCACGCAGGGATCCGGGTGGATGGCCCATTCGTCTCTTGAGCATGACGTTCTACTAGACGATGTCCCCATATCAGTCGGGCATGCTGTTGAGAAGGCCGAATTCACTGTTCTGACAGAGAAGGGACGCCTAGAGTGCACCATTGACGATTTGGTGAAATACGGGGCACGGTTCGTGTCATTTTTTAATGAGTGTACGGATACATTTGCTGGTCTCACGCGCCTCTACCTGGCGAATTTGAGATTCACTGAATCGGACTTCGTCTCCAGCATCCTCGTCACTTGCAAGCGATTAAAATATTTAGGTTTTCTCAATTGCGACATAGAGAGTTGGATAGCGTTCCAAATTGAACACGCGGAACTCAGTGAGCTCAGTATTGTCAATTGCCGTTTTGACGTGGTCAAACTTGACTGGGTTCCGAAGCTCACTTGGTTGGTGTTTGAGTGTTGGATGTCTTTCAAAGAACCACCACTGTCATTTGGCTATGTCCCATTGCTCGATGTCCTGTGTGTTTCAAATGTTGCTCTTGGTTGGCATGAAATGATCGAGTTAAGTACATTTCTTCATGAGACCTCTGTTCGAGACCTGACGTTGGGGTTTAAATACGAAAAGGTAACTCAGGGTGATTGCTTTGTTCTGTCTTCACTTGTTCTCTACTCATCCTATCATGTGCTTATTGTTGCAGATTTGGGTTCAACCAGAGTGTCTGACCAGATGGCTGGCATCTGTGTTTCACCAACTAAGGATTGTCAATCTTGTTGACATTCCTGAAGGGTATGATCTCACCTGGACAATGTTTATTCTGGAAGCGGCGCCGTCCCTGGAGGAGTTCTACATGACGGTGTGTTCTTACTGAAACCTTGTTCTATTATTTTATTTTTTCTGATGAGGGGTGACTCTACTACTCGACTGTATGTTCTTCTTACCAACAGCCTGTTCTATTATTCTCTTCTGTTTGAGGGGTTTCTCTATTATATCTCCATTGCATGGTTGCACGCTTGTGCTTTCACTTGGAGCACGTCTGCCCGTGTATGCAAAATTAACCTGTTCCGTCTACCTTTGTCCTACGGGTGGTAATGTAGGTAATGGATCATCCTTGTGGCATGCAAATGGATCAGGAGAAGAGGAAGGCGAAGTCGTACAGCGAGCACAAGGGTGTTGAGTGGGAATCACCTACATCAAATTTCAAGCACCACCGCCTGACCAAACTAATCATCTTCTGTTTTCAGTCTGAAGACTACATGGTGAGTCATGTCAGGCGTGTCTTGAAAGCGGTGGTGAATCTAGGGGATGTGTACCTATATGATAGACTGACATGCAGCAAGTGCCGAGGCGTGGAACCTCTAAATCCGATAAGGTTCCCGGAGACAAGTAAGCACATGTGTTGGGTGGAGAAGCAAATCAGAAGGGGTATCGAATCACTTGCCACAATCCACTTCCTGACTACTGCTAAAATAAGGGAGGATCATGTTTCAAGGATAGGGTAGTGTTTTCCTTGGAAGATTCTTTGTGTGGGTTCTGAAGGCATTAGAGGCAGTTTAGTTAATGTTGTAGTACTTATTTAGAGAAAGTGGTCAATTCTGCATATGGTTGTACGCCATGACTGATGGCTAAAAGGTTTTGGTTTTGCTGATGGTCAGGTGCCTAAAAAAGAGTTTTGTTTTAGTCGAATCTTTTTTATCATTTTTTTACCGTAAGTCGAATCCTTTTGTCAAGGCAGCAGCAGCCGGCTCGGTTTTGTTCCAGTTGTCCTTTTTTTTTCTAGGTTTTTTTAGACAAACTCCGAAGCTTTTTATTCCGACGTCACAATGTTTACAGGGACGAAAGAAAGACCGCCCGGCTGTCCCAACCAAACATGTCGGCCAGCCGGAAGGGATAATGCATGCTTCGCGAGCTTGTGAGTCTCGATATTCGAGCTCCTAAATTCGTGAGAAATATTACAAACTTGGAAAGATAGCGTATGCTCTATTATTTCATGTATAATTGCTCCATACGCTGCCGGATTCTTCTGTTGGATATCTTGTACCACCACCTTCGCATCGGAGGCCACCTGGATGTTTGTCACGTTCAAATCATCAGCTAGAGCTAGAGCCTCCCTGATCGCCATGCATTCGAGAGTCGCCGGTTCTGAAATACCTCTAAAGACCACAGCCGAAGCTCCCAAGAAATTTCCGTCTGAATCTCTAGAAATCGCTGCTACAGCTCCATGTCCTCTTCCTCTCCCCATTGCAGCATCAACATTAAACTTTGCCAGCCCTCCAGGTGGAGCGATCCAACCTGATCGTCGTGGCGCAGGTCTTGCAATCTGCCTCGAGTTGATGGACTGCAGTGCGTTGAGTTCATTCACGTAAGAATGTACAAATGCTTGGACAGAAGACAGGCTTTGATAGATGTGCTCATATATTGCCTTGCGGCGTGCTCCCCACGGTGCCCAAAGAGTGACCACAAAGTTTGTAAACTCATCATGAGATAGCGCCTCTTGCATGGATAAAAGCCACCTCTTCGGATCCAGTTCCTCGTTTCTGTTCAGCACATCAATAATGTGTTCAGAAGACAGCGCCCATGTGCTTCGAGAGACAGTGCATTTTAACAGCGCATGCCTCCAAGTATCTTCGGCCCCGCATAGGCAACACGCGGCCGAATCCGCCATGTTTCGGTGATGCAACAGTACGCCTAGCAAATCTCCACAGGAAGATCTTGAGTTTCGAAGGTACCTTGATTCCCCAAAGCTTTGTCCAACCATCGCCATCAGCGTTTGTGTGAGAAGACCCATCTTGCTCATATAACCAAGCTTCACGACTCAATTTTCTCTGTTGAATCATCCTATAGGCAGTTCTCACCGAGAATATCCCCCGCCGGTCTTCACTCCATGCCCAAAAATCTTCAATCTGTCTGGTGCAAAGAGGGATCTGCAATATTGCCTCCGCATCAATCGGTATAAAGGTTGACCGAACTAGCTGCTCATTCCACGAGGATGTAGCGTGGTTGATTAGTTCTGACACTTTCCGTGGCGGATGTTGAACAAGAGATGTGATCGGTCTCTTCATAAGTGAGCTAGGTAGCCAATTGTCAAGCCATATGTCAGTAGTTTCACCGTTTCCAATTCTCCTTGCTAGTCCTTGCACCATAATGTCTCTCCCGTCCAGAATAGCCCGCCAGATCTGTGATGGATGGTGGCCCAATTCTGCTCCAAACAAAGATACGTCCGGGAAATAAACGCTCTTGAGAATGCGTGCGCTCAAGGATGTAGGGTTTTGGAGCATACGCCATGTCTGTTTGGACAGTAGTGCCAAGTTAAAAATTTCCAAGTCCCTAAAGCCAAGCCCACCAAGATGTTTCGGCTTCATCACCTCGTCCCAGGAAACCCAGCTTGGCTTGCGTTTTCCTTGCTTACTCCCCCACCAAAACTGCCTGATCAAGGAAGTGACACTCTCACATAAACCCCTTGGCAGACGGAAACATGACATGGAAAACACCGGTATCGACTGTGCCACTGACTTGATAAGCACTTCCTTTCCTGCAACTGACAATATTTTTTCCATCCAGCCTCTGATCTTCTCCCATACTCGGTCTCTCAAGTACCTAAAGGTGCCATTCTTTGAATGCCCAACATCCGTGGGCATCCCCAAATACCTGCCACTGAGGGATTCATTCTGAACATTGAGAGTGGTTTTGATGCTTTCTCTCATGCCCTGCGGGCAGCCTCCGCTGAAAAAGATAGATGATTTCTCGTGATTTATGCGCTGTCCTGAAGCCAAACAGTAGTGCTCTAATAGGTTTGATACTGTAACAGCCCCTTCAACACTCGATTTAAACATCAGCAGGCTATCATCAGTGAAAAGGAGATGGTTCACGACGGGCGCCGTGGGTGCCACCTTGATCCCTTCTAGCTGAGACGACGAAGAACTGGATTTCAGTAGGCACGAAAGGCCCTCTGCTGCGATTAAAAAGAGATATGGGGATATCGGATCTCCCTGCCGAATACCTCTGGATGGATAAAAAGTGTCTAGTCTCTCACCATTAAAAAGCACCGAGAACGATACTGACCGCACCATGTTCATGATGATGTGTACCCAGGCTGGAGCGAAGCCCAGTTTGATCATTATCGCCTGCAAGTAGTCCCACTCTAGTCTGTCATATGCTTTCATCATATCGAGCTTGAGGGCACAAAAGCTGTTAACCTTGGCTTTGCTGCGCTTCATAAAGTGAAGGCACTCATAAGCACTAATGATGTTATCTGTAATATGTCTTCCTGGCACAAAGGCCGACTGCTCCTCTGAGATGATCTCTGGGAGAATCTGCTTCAATCTGTTTGCAATCACCTTGGACGCAATCTTGTATAACACATTGCATAAACTAATCGGCCGGAATTGAGTTAGCAAAGTTGGATTCATTACCTTTGGGATGAGAACCAAAACAGTATCATTAATGCTTTCTGCACTCTCCTCTCCCCGAATTATCCTCAGCACTACCTCCGTCACCTCAGCGCCACATATCTCCCAATCATGTTGATAGAAATGAGCTGGAAAACCATCGGGGCCGGGCGCTTTGGTTGGAAACATCTGAAAGAGGGTTGTCTTAACTTCTTCCTCCCTGTACGGTGCAACGAGAAGATCGTTCATCTCTGTTGAGACCTTAGTTGGTACACAATTGAGGACCGTTTCCATGTTGCTAACACCCTCCGAAGTATAAAGAGATCTATAGAAATCATGTACCATTGCTTTGAGTTCGTTCGAGTCATCAGTCAGAGTCCCAAGAGAATTTTGCAGGGCCTTAATCATATTTTTCTTCCTCCTAATGCTTGCTCTCAAGTGGAAAAACTTCGTGTTCCTGTCCCCCGCCGTGAGCCACTCTACCCTGGACTGCTGCCTCCATAGAATTTCCTCTCGATGGTAAAGCTCTACTAGATTTTCATTAATCTTCAACTCCACATGAGATGGTGTAGTTCTGCTTGGGTCTGCACGAAGTTTTTCCAACTCCCCTTTTAATCTCCTGATCTCTTTCCTCACGTTACCAAAGGTCTCATTATTCCAGCGCCCTAAATCAAGTGATATCGCCTGAAGCTTAGCTCGTAAGCCTTCTGCTCCGTTACTGACTCCGCCTCCCGTCCATGTTGAGTTAATAGTATCGTTCCAAGTTTCATGCCCTTCCCACATGACTTCATACCTGAAGGATTTTTGCCGCCGTCCGCTTCGATGATCTCTATTCGGACGCATTAAGATTGGACAGTGATCAGAAGTCGCCGCCGTCAAGTGTGTCAAATCAGCTAACGGAAACCTTGCTCGCCAATCACAACTGACCAGCGCGCGATCCAGTCGGACCCTAGTATAGGATCCTCCCCGTACCTTCTTTTCAAAAGTCCAAAAACGGCCATTATAGCCTATGTCCAGCAACATGCACACGTCTACTTCCTCCCAAAAACTCTGTATATGTGCGTTGCTCTGCTGTCCCACTCCCTCATGTTCCTCGGGTCGCAAAACTTCATTGAAATCACCAATGCAAAACCAAGGGAGGTTGCATGAAGAGCTAATGTTTTTCAGGGTGTCCCACGTTTTGTAACACAAGTGGGTTTGTGCTTCGCCACACACTACCGTGGCTCTCCAAGGATCAAGCCCCTCTTCCACAACAGAGCAATCTATACGGTAATCCGAATAACCAAGAATTTCCACTTTTATTTCATTGTTCCAAAAAATACCAATACCTCCACTTCTACCTCGACTGTCAATTGCAAAACTATTATCATAACCAAAAGTGTCAGCTAATGATTCTACCCTCGAGCCTTCTATCTGAGTTTCGACGATACATAAGAGGGTAGGGGTAAATTTGTTCGCAAACTCGCGAACCTCTCGAACTGTC